ATCAGGATGGGAGGATCAGGATTAAAACCTGTGATATGCTGATGACACAACTTTGCTTGCTGACAGTGAGGACAACTTGAAGCACTTAGTGGTGAAGATTGAAGACTACAATCTGAAGTATGGATTACACCCCAATATAAAGAAAGCTGACATCCTCACACAACTAGACCAAAAAGCAGCATCATGATAAATGGAGAAAAGATAGAAGTTGTCAAAGACATCATATTACTCCATTCTACAATCAAAGCCAGTGGAAGCAGCAGTTAAAATATCAGATGATGTATAGCATTGGACAAATCTGCTGCAAAAGAACTCTTTCAAGTGCTGAACAGCAAAGATAATCTCCTTGAAGACTAAGGTGTGCCTGACACAAGCCATGGTATTTTCAATTGCCTCATATGCATATGAGAGCTGGACAATGAATAAGGAAGACCGAGGAAGAGTTGATACTTTTGAGTTGTGATTTTGATGAAGAATACTGAAAGTACCATGGAGTGCCAAAAGAACAGATCTGTCCTGGACGAAGTGCAGCCAGAATGCTCCTTAGAAGTGAGAATAACCAGACTTTGTCTCACCTACTTTGGTCATATTGTCAGAAAGGACCATTTTCTTGAGAAGGATATCATGCTTGGTAAAGTGGAGGATCAGTGAAAAAGGGGAAGGCCCTCAACAAGATGGATTGACACAGTGGCTACAATGATGGATTCAGGTACAGCAAGGATTGTGGGGCAGGCACGTGACCAGTCGATGTTGTTCTGCTGTCCATAGGGTCACTATGAGTTGGAGATGACTCGACGGCACCTAACAACAACAACAAACTTATAATGTACCGAAGACAAAATGAGAAACTACATAAGGAGCTTTGGTCGTGTAGCAATCAAGGCATTTGGCTGTTTACCAAAAGGTCGGTGGTTCGAACCCACCAGCTGCTCCCAGAAGAAAGATGAGATGGTTTGCTTCCATAAAGATTTACAGCCTTGGAAAACAAATGAGGGTTGTTATGAGTCAGAATCAACTCGATGGCAGCGAGTTTGGTTTTTCTGGTATAAATGCACATAAACTGCTTAGCACACTAGCTGGCATATAAAAAACCAAAACTCACTGACATGGAGTCAATCTTGACTTATAGCAACCCCTTCTTGGGTTTTTGAGGCGGTATCTCTACAGACATAGATTGCCTAATCTTCCTCCGAAGAGTGGCTAGTGGATTTGAACTGCCAGCCTTTTAGTTAACAGTCAAATGCCTTAGGCACTAGGTTACCAGAGCTCCCACTCGGCATGCAGTAATTTTTTATAAGTTACATTTTTATTCCTGAGTTTAGAGTTTGGTTATTTTGATTAATTTTTGTTTTTTTTTCCCAAATATTAGCAGTCTGCCTACAAGTCATCAAGGAGCTAATATTTTAGTGATGAGGATAACCCACAATTAATTAAAGAGTGTTTAATGCCAGGTTTGGAGCTAAGACTATGAAGTGGTCTGAAAATAGCAGGAAAAAAAGACAGAGAGTAATAGGGATCTTAATTTAGACAGGGTGGTCAAGGAAGATTTCCCTCAGGAGATGACATTTAAACAGAGGTCTGAGTGAAATAAGTAAGGGAAGGAGCGATGACCATGTCATTCATTATGTGAATGAGTACTCATTTATGGTGCTTGCTTAGCTACATCCTTTTGGTTCTTAGTCACCCTTCTTTAAATGGCTACTGAACTATTTATATTACTATGACTTAGAGGCCAACCAGATTTTATAGTCCAGGAGGGAAGTGCCTGTGCTTCCTGTGTCCTTTAAATATCTTTCAGTGACCACACATTTGTCATTAGTATTTCTTGAATGGTTTCTTGTCAGTTTTTAAGATGAACTTAGAAGTCCTTTGAGGAGATATAGGAGTTTGTAAGCACCTATCAGAGGGAAGGGAAGCTCTGGTAGCATAGTGCCTAAGGCACTTTACTAACCAGAAGGGTGGCGGTTCAAACCCACCAGCCACTCCTTGGAAGGAAGGTTGGGCAATCTACTTCCGCAGTGATCCTGCCTTGGAAACCCAATGAGGGGTTGCTAGTAGTTGGGTCCAACTCAACAGCACATAACAACAACAGAGGGAAGTAACTATGGTATGGAGGAAGAAAGGAATCTTAGAATCAAGAGAATTGGGTTTGAATTTCAGCTTACTCACTGGCTATGTGGACTTGGAAATCTCCTTTAACTTTTGTGAGTCTGTTTCTTTCTGCAGAAGTGGGGTCAATAGTGACTAATTCATACAAGTCCTACAAAGGTCAGATGAGATAACCAATTATGAAAAATACTTGGTATGTTATATTCAAAAAATGTTAGTTGAATTTCAATATTTGAAAGCTTGGAATACCCTCAAAGAGAATGGGTTGGTGTCAGTTCTCTGAATAAACAAATTCATAAATATATTACACTGAATTTAAAAGTAGAGATAAGAAGTCTATGTCAATATAAAAGTATACTTGGTATGATAGGTAACATTCAATGCTTATTATGCTTTAAGAACTTGTTGTATGGATTAACTCATTTATTTCAGAAACTACCATATATGATCAGTACAATTTTTATACCCCTCTAACTCATTAAGAAAAAAACAACAGAAGAGGTACAAAGAAACTAGGTAAATGATTATAGTCACAAAGTAAATGTGGAGCTGGGATTATGAACCCAGACAGGCTGACACCAGTGCTCACATTCTTAACCACTAAACTATACAATTTTAATTTAAAACACTATCTATCCTATTAGAGACCATCATCTTAGTTCCTTCTGATAGAATAATCATGGTAGAAAATAGAATGAAAATAATAAGTAAAAAAACAGAACATGAAATGAAGTACCAAGTTTAACTGATATTTTTTTAAAGAGTGAGTAAGGTTTAAGGAAAGGGGTGTATTAACTAAGGATTGGTTTAGACAATATATAGTTACTACCCAACATTTCAATATTAAGGTTCACTTACTTTATTATGCAATTTCATATTTTCTATCAAAAAATCCACTCATTTTAAGAAAAATGACCGCTTTGTACTGATCACAGACTAAGAAACGTATGTAATCTAAATAGCATGTCTAAAATTACTTAAAAAAAAAAAGCCAAACTCATTGTCATCAGGTTGATTAAAAAAAGTCCTAGACAGTGCAACAATAATATTTTTGAGGGATATATAGTAGTAACTTGAATCATTGTTGAAAAGCTTAGCAAAACAATGACATGGGTTACCTACCAAGCCTAAATAAAGCTCCAATGACAAAAAGATAAATACATAATAAAAGCAACTGGTGCATTCTATCAAATTATCTAGTCATTTCCTATGCGTTAAATCTATTAAGAAATATATTATGTAAAGAAACATTATGTAAAGAAAATATATAATATACATATTATATATATAATATATATAAAATATATTAAGAAAATATATTATGTAAAGAAACATTATGTAAAGAAAATATATAATATACATATTATATATATAATATATATAAAATATATTAAGAAAATATATTATGTAAAGAAAAGATCATTATTTAGAAATGTTAAATGATCACCATCCAGGCTTTTAAATAATAGTGATATTATTCTGGGTTATAAGTATTGTTGTCGTTGTTATGTGCTGTTTAGTCGGACCCAACTCATAGCAACTCCTCCTTGGGTTTCCGAGGCAGTATCACTATGGAAGTAGATTGCCCAGCCTTCCTTCTGAGGAGTGGCTGGTGGGTTTGAACCATCAGCCTTTTGGTTAGCAGTCAAGTGCCTTTGGCACTATGCTGCCAGAGCTCCTGGGTTATAAGCAGTTACGTATACACTAGATAATTTGATCAAGTAGAATAGTATTCCATTTTTATATCCTATTTCACAAATCTAATCTTTTATTGGGAGCTCTGGTAGCATAGTGGCTAAAGCACTTGACTGCTAACCAGAAGGCTGGCGGTTCAAACCCACCAGCCACTCCTCGGAAGGAAGGTTGGGCAATCCTACTTCCGTAGTGATACTGCCTCGGAAACCCAAGGAGGGGTCGCTATGAGTTGGGGCCGACTCGACGGCACATAACAACAACAACAACAACAATCTTTTATTAACCTTCCTATCCTTAACTATATGGTAGTAAGGCAACAAATAGGAAAGAAGGTTGGGCAATCTACTTCCATAGTGATTCCCTTCGGAAACCCAAGGAGGGATCGCTATGAGTGGTATCAGACTTGAAGGCAGTGAGTCTGGTTTTAGGTTTTGGTTAAGGCAACAAATGTAATTTCTTAATTGATTAATAAAGAAATAAAGTATACAATTTCTTCTGTGTATACTTCAGATTGGCAGATACAACACAAAACAACCACATACATAAACACTTACATGACAACCTAATTACAAAATCTGTGACATATTAGAATAACTATAAAACACATACAATGAAGCATATGAAAAATGAAGAGAAATTCAGCTATAAAGAATAGGAGCATTAATAAGTGTTGTAAATCTAGGACAATTGACCAGAGTGGGGAGTTTTTAGTCAAAGGTAAAGTATGGGAGGCATTGCTTGAAAAAAAAAAAAAAGTTTTAAAAAATCTCACTGGCTTTCATTTCCCTGTATTTCCTTGTCAGGCTCCAAGATTCTTTTCTCTGCTATCTAGCACATCAATGCCTTCTCTCAAAGAAGATAACCACATATTACTTTTAAACAACAGAAAATACCATTAAGATCAACTGTAAATACTGTGGATAATTTAAAAATAAGAGAGGGTAGTCTCTAAGTAGAAAACCATTTACTCTTATTTTTTAGAATTCTATCTAATTTAGAACCTACTTGAGCTAAACTGACAGGACAAAAGCTTTCATGAATTACTTCTGACATCCAGGTAAACCAAAACATATTAACAGGCAGTGACTGAGTTCTTATTCAGCCTCAATTATGTGTTAGTCAACTCAAGTATCCATTATGTACTCAATAATAGGTATGACACAGCTCTGGCCATCAGCAACACTATAAGCAGGCAACATAGGCGGCTTGCTGATACTAATTTTTCTGGTGTTAACATTCTTAAGAAGCATAGGAAATAGTAACAAGATAGTGTCTTTCTCATTAGAACCTTACAGTAACACATTACTAGCTTTCTTTATTTCGGTTTATTGTGGTAATAACCAGACAGTGTAGAATAACACCGTCTTCAGAAATAAAAGCACAGTATCTTAGAAGGAAAGGATATGTAGATGCTAATGTGGGGACAGATTTCTAATTGCCAGTGATTGTGAACATAACCATATTTTCCTGAACAGTAAAGCCTCTACAAAAAGTAGCTAGTTATAAAGTAAAAAAGTACTCTTCTAACTTTAAAATCACATCGGCAAACATCATAATGTAACAAAGTAAACAAAGAAGAAAAAAAAAGAAAAACTTTGTCTAAAAAACACAGCAGGGAAAAGAGCTGATCCTTAGAGAGGCACGCAGTTGCTTATTATGAGACATTTATAGAGTCCGAAGCATTTTCAAAGCTGGTTACAGTCATTACCACAGCACACTCTTGTGTGGTAAGTATATTATCACCTTTGATTCATAAATGAAAAAGCTGAGGCACTGGATGATTAAGTCACTAGCCTAAGGAGAATGAGTCAACGTCAAGAGTCAAAGCTTGACCCGCCTAACGACTCCTGACGGTCAGTCCAGGGCTTAGTCAGCGGGACCCGGAGTGGTTCCCTGGCTGGCACCTGGACTAGGCTATTTTCCACTCACGTTACAGCAGAGAAGTGGAACCGACAGGACAGAATTTCCAAATAATTTTTATTTCTACGAAGGATTTAGCCCTGAGGCCTTAATCTCAGGATTTGGGACAGGAAAAGTTGACCGGTACACTCCCTCTCTCCATCCCCCATCCAGTGGCAAGTGTGTACTGTGGGCGGTTCAATCCACCCCCTTTCGCAGTGATGGCAATGAATGCTCACCAGCGATAGCACAGCCAGGAACGTGGGAGGACTGATTGCTTAAACAACTTTTCATCGCCACCTGTTTTTGAAACTAAAAGAAAATGGTGGAAGGTCAAAAGAAAACTAAATAAACACGCAGGAAACTTGTCCCAGGACCTTAACTAAGCAAATGAAGCCTTATTGTGCGTGTTGAGGCTTTAGTTCCAACCTTCCGGGGAAGATGGGAGGACAGGGCGACAAAGGGCACAGTAGGCATGCCTGGCAGTAAGTGCGACAGTAGCTATCCAGGGGGAAGAACAGAGGGCTGAAAACCAGACTCCAACACGCGAGTGTCCGCCGCACCAAGAACAGCGCACCCTACCCGTTGACCACGTGACCAGCTTTTTTTTTTTTAAAATACATCTTTGCCCCTAAAAAATAAGGGGGGGGGGAGACTCCACTTCCCAGAAGCCTTTCGTTATCCACGCAGCCGCAGTCTTGCGCAGGCGCCGCCAGGGCCAAACGGACACGTCCGTCACGTGGACAGCAGTCGGCCAATCCGGTTTGAATCTCATTTTTTTCCTCTCACCCCCCCTTCAGGAGCGGTTGTGCGATCAGATCGATCTAAGATGGCGACTGTGGAACCGGTGAGTATTGCCTTTGGCCCCCACCCCCATTGGTCCCCGCGCTCAGCCTCTCCTCGGACTGGGGGACCCCGCGGGGCGGTGTTCCCGGCGCGCACGCTACCCCATACCGCCCCCTCCCCCTCTTCTTGGACCTGACCTCCCCTCGGGCAACTTGGGGGCGCCCCGGAGGCTGGCGGCAGCGGCATGTAGCTCACACGTTCTGGTGGGGGCCAGAGAGCTGGGGGAGAGGACTGGGGGAGGGGCGGCGCGGCGTCTCCCATGGAGCCACGGGTTGTCCGCTACAGTGGAGGATGTTCAGGGACCTGGGAAGCTGTGTGGGGATTATGACTTTGGGTTAGGAGGGCGCGGGCTCCGAGCAGTCGCCGGGAACTGCGGGGAGGGTGGGCGGCTAGCCCGCCTGGAATGAGATGGAGGAGGGAGCCCCGGGGCAGCCTTTCTCTCCCTCCCGAGTCTCGGGTTGGGGGCGCGCGCGAGTCTTCCTTCATTAGGCAGATCGGCTTGTGCAGCCGGTGGGCGCGCGTTGCCGGAGAGTGGGTTGGGCGGGAGCGGCACGCACGGGCAGCTTCAGTCTCGCCGGGGTGGGGGAGCGGTGAGGGGCGAGCGCGTGTTAACTGCGGAGCGCCCGCATGTTGCCGGGGTTGGCGGCAGGGGTGGAGAGAAGGCCTTGGGGTGGGGTGGAAAACCCGGTGCCGCGCGGTGAAGTTCTCCGAGTAGGATGGGGGTTAGTGGTGGTGAGAAGGGGGATCACTTTGTCCTCGCCTCTCCATGCTTGAGACTAGGCTGTCATGGAGGAGGGAAGGGGGAGGAGCGAGGCCTACAGATCGCTGCAGCCGGTCTGGTTGCCGGCTGGACCTGCTGCATTTCACACGCGCTTGTCTTCCATTCATTCATCCTTTCCGCGCATTGCGCACGCCTCAAAAGAATGCGAATGGATGTAGATCCGTCTGCTTTACGAGTCCTTATCATCGGAATCATTTCCAAGCAACAGCTTATTGGAAATAGACAATCAGCTTTTTAATATTCTATTTGGTTCTCCTACTTTACGCATTCCAGCAGAATTTTTGCTTAATTTAGGTATTTTATACTTAATCGAAACAACCTGATTGTAGGGCAAAGACTTGGTAGTTGCCTCCGGGTGGAGAGGGTATCTTTGTCAGTTTAGTTTTGCCGGCTCTGGTTCACTGAAACTTCTGTGTGTCTGTTACTGTTTTAGAAATGTGCTGCCTAAGTGACAATGTTTTGGGGTAATAGTATGAGTATATTAATTAGCAACTAGAAAACTTTTTACATTGGAACCAGTTCAAGACCATAGTTGGCAGATTTTTATCTTTCATGGTAGTTTGTAATCTTGGTAATAGTTTGTCGATTTGCTTTGACCTTTTAAGGACTTTCACAACTATTTTAAAAGTTCTAGTCAGAGAAAGGCCTATGGAACACAAAAAGTCTTATTTTTCATTGCATTGATGTAAACTATTCTTGTTGCCAGAATTTAAGGCAGCATTTCTACTTGGCTACTTGTTTAATTGGCACTAGTTTTCATTTATGTTTCTGGAAGTTTGATTAACTGCCGAAGTATATCTCGTTGCTGATAAGATTAACTGACATTAGAACACTAATGTTACATAAATAAGTAGGATAAATATGTAAAATTTCAAGTTGAAACTCCTTTAACGGGTCACATGTCCACTCGATTGTTCTCCAAGACAGTGTTCTAATCAATAAAACAATGTGTTCTATGAAGTTTTAGTAGTATTTAGACCTTTAGGCTTTACGAAACTATGCAGTTTTGTTTACACAGCGCAAAGTAATGGACTATTTTGAGTCAGTAAATGCTTATAGCCATTATTATGTTTAGTTGTACCAAGTGTTTTTTAGGCTACAAAGTTATACAAGCTATGATTGTTCAATATAAATGCTTAAGGAGCTTGATCCCAAGTGATGTGGTTAATGGTATAATGTAGTATTTGTTCCAGTGCTGACCCTGAGGGCAGTTGGATACCCATTGCCATGGAATTGATACCAATTTACAGTGACTGTATAGGACAGAGTATAACTGCCCCATAGGGTTTCTGAGGCTGTAAATCTTTATGGAAGCAGACTGCCACATCTTCTGGGGAGTAACTGGTGGGTTGGAACCACAGACTTTTCAGTTAGCAGCCAAGTGATGAACCACTGTACCAGGAGGGCATCTTAAAATTTGGATAACTGAAAACAAAACCAAACGCACTGCCATTGAGCTGGTTCCCACACATTGTGACCCTATAGGCTGTAATAGAATGCCCCATAAGGTTTCCAAGGCTGTAAATTTTTAGGGAAGCAGACTGCCTCATGTTTGTCCCATGGAGTGGCTGGTGGGTTCGAACCACTGGTCTTTTAGTTAGCAGCTGAACCCTTGACAACCATACCATCAGAGCTCCATTTAAATTTGGATTACAAAGCAAAAAAAAAAAACACTGCCATTGAGTTGATTCCAACTTATAGCAACCCTTTTGGGTTTCTGAGGCTGTAAATCAGGAAATAGATTTCCCCATCTTCCTTCCACAGAGCAGCTGGTGGTTTTGAACTGCTGACTTTCTGGTTGGCAGCCACATGCCTTAGCCGCTGTGCCACCAGAGTTCTTTGATATTTGGATAGTACATTTAAATTTGGGGATTAGAGGAACTTAAAAATCCTAAAGTATATGGAGGTATAAAGCCAAGTTGAAACTATAGTAGTTTGAAAATATATGTTAAATAGTATTGAAATCTTCATTTTTAATGAGAAATGCAAGTTTTAGTAATTTTGAAGCACACTTTCTCACAGCCTAGTCACTTAGAATTCTTTTGACAATTTTAAATAGTGGGATATTTTCTTTAAAACAAATGATTAGTTTTGTGTTGCAGTTGAGGTACCCATGCCAAAGCCTGCAAAATTTTAATTGTTCATTGCTGTTTCAGGTAGCTTGTTAGTTTCCTTGTTGCTTTTTCTACTGTGTATTACCATAAGCACTTAAAGAACTATGGGTTTACCTGTTTGTCCCAGTTTTTATAGGCATTTGTGTAATCTTACTCAATGGATATTACACAAAATAGAGTAATTCAATTTGATTGTGTGATTTACTCTCAAGCAGGGCTTCCAACCAGTTAATCCTCATTCAGACATGGGTGAAGAAATAAAACCGGATTTGACCCGAATATGTAAAATGTGGGTGAATCAGAATGGTTACTAGAACCAGACAAGTGATAGGTTGATGCCTTGCTAGAAACTTAATCTCCCGTGTATGCATTACATAGCACCCAAATCTTTTGACCAGCAGAGTAAGAAACAGTGGTGCTTGCGCAGCTGACAGTGCATTTGAATGTGTGTTGCTCTCCACAGTCCTGACTTCTGCATCTAGTTTCCCGCATCAGACTCCTGGAAGGGCTCATTATGCCTCTTTCAGGTCTCCTGTCTCAGGGCTTTGACCTGTAATTTTTTGCATTCTGGTTATGGTTCTGCTTCACCCAGATTTTCTAAATTTGAGTCTGTGCTGTCAACCATGACTGACTATTTGAACCAGTTCGAATTGGTTTGAAGCTCTGCTGTAAGGTGTGTATATGTGAGTTCAGTTACATTAAGAAGTAATTTACAAATACTTGTTGAGGAGCTTGATGGGGCATTTAAAGGGAGAATTTAATCTCTTTACAGGTAATTTGGCAAAATTTTGAACTTTGAGGAAAATGATACTCTCCTGTTGACAAGATCAAAATGAGATTTAACATTAGTGTGTAAAAATGGCAAGGCAGTTTCCCTTATTTTCAAGTGATTATATTTCTTTATAGTTTTTTTCTTTGTTCTTTGTATGAGTTCCAAGCACATTTTATTAGACCATTTTTTGACTTGTAAGAGATTAGTTTTGGTTGCTTTAGTTTGACTGACAATAGATACTTGTTTTTACATTGTACCTCTTGAATTTTTTACTGTACATAATTTTACAAGTAAAATTAACTTGGGCAACTGATCTAATTTTTTTTAGAAGTGTACTTTGCAAAGAGTTTATTAGAGTAAATTGACAAATGTTTAAAAAATATGTTATTACATAATTCAGCTTTTTTGTTAACCTAGGACTGATGGGTACTATTCTCACAAATGGGTGTTTTTGCTTCAGTGAAAGAACTCAGTATATCAAAGTTCATTCATAAACTATACAATTTAGTTCTGGTATTTATTTTACAAATTTCAGTTCATTTATACTCTGAATTAATATTACACACATTTATTTGACTTAACTTAGACCTAGCCAGAGTTTATACACTAGTAACTAGTGTAAAACAAATTATATCATTTTAATCTAATTTAGAAAGAAAATTCTAGGCAAAAAACATATTAATAAAATAGTCTATTTAGTTTACATAAGGTTATTTTCAATAAGACTATGATATAAGTACTTGCAGTCCTAGACCTGTGAGTTAATAGTTATTATAGCAGTGGAAATTTCTACATTTTCCTTCTCTGCTCCTGGAAATTTTCTTGTTCTTTTCGTAACTGTGAATTGTCTCCATCTTTGTGATAGGCTGTTTAGAAAAGTAGAAATGAGTGGATTTTAGTCTCATTTTAATGTGTGGGAGCTTGAAGATTGAAATTGTTAACTCTATAACTGAAAAATGGGAATCAGAAACATCTTACAGTGATTTTGATGTTCAAATGCAGTATTAAAAATGATAATTTGTCAGTTATAAAGAACTAGATAAATATCCATGAATATGTGTTATGAGCCAGTGTATCCATTCATACATGAGCCATTGTATCCATTCATACATGTACTCATCTTTTCCCTCTTTTCTGGGAAATTTATGTAGCTGTCTTTTACCAATCCTTGGCCATTAGCAGGAAATACAAACCATATGCTCCACAATTCTCAGAATACTCTTCTGGCTCCCATTCCTACCATAAACATCCCTAGTGTTCATTCAGAAATCTCTATTCATGTCTAGAGGGAAAAAATGATACTTTTTTTTAATTGTGATTTGGGTGAAGATTTC